GGCACGTGGGACTGCTTTCGAGTACCGCCCCATGACGCAGGGCACCTCAATCTGGAGGTACGGCAGAGACAATGTACGGCGGTGTACGTTTATGTATGGGTGTATGGCGTGTGGCGTATGAGCAAATGTGCTATAAGGGTCCAGCTCATTTTCCGTACAGCCCCACTCCTAACTTAGGGTTGTTGATCTTTGATGACGGGCGTTAAATCCCCTTCCCCGCCTTTTGCCGTTGAACCCGTTTCCTCTTGGGCTCGCATGACATACATACATACATGCATACGTATATGCATAAATACATACATACATACGTACGTACGTACATACGTATATACGTACATACGTATATGCATACACACGTACATACGTACATACATACATTGGACTAGTAGTATATTCTGTTATCAGTTCAGCATGTGTGCGACTTTCCCAACCTTAATGCTCGCGGCCCAGTCCGTCCAAACACACCCAGCACCCTCCTCCCCTTTTCCTGATCCCCCCCATCGTCCTCTTCAATTCGTTTCTCCATCGCGGCGGATGACCCCCTGACCACCCCTCCCTGATCGGGCCGCGTCTGAGTTATGTTCTTCCTCCCTCCCCCTCTCCCCCCGTTCCTCCCTCCCCCCGTTCATCCCTCCCTGGACGGCTGGTGTTATTGCTTTGGGGTGACAGGAGGTGGTGGCTGTAGCCAAGGAGGCAGCAGGGGGGAAACCCAGCGGGTTTGCTGCCGTACAGCTGCCGGTACGTGAGTGGGGGGCACCTATGCGACCTAGAGTTAGGCGGGAGGACCCAAGAAATGAGTATGGTGTGTGGGACAGGGGACCGCTACCTGGCGAAACCCTGCCTTCCCCGGTATTTCGGGGCACCTTCATCTAGTCACACAGTCACCTTCTCAGTGGATCGCTCAGGTTCCGCACCCACTACCGGCATCCAACGGAATCTGCCGGGTCGACAGCGGCTCAACTCCATTCCTGGTCGGCTCGCAAGTCAACTTTATTCCAGGTCACCACCGTCCATCGACTAGGGGCACTTTACCTTCCACCATCGGAAGGATTTCGACGCTGGCAGGTCTCGATCCCGGGATCTCCCTGGGGCAATGGTCCGTGCCTTCCAGTAGTGCCTAACCTGAGCATCCGTATGTATGTATGTATGTATGTGCATGCGCATGAAGGAGAGCGAGCGGGCAGTGAATTTTTGGTTGCGCGCGTGTGTGTGTTTGTGTCCGTACGGCAGAAAGGGGTGATTAGGTGTTAACCCGTGTGACGCACATCTCCCCCCTTCCCCCTCCCCCTTCCCCCTCCCTTCCCCCTCCCCCTTCCCCCTCCCTTCCCCCTCCCTTCCCCCTCCCCCTTCCCCCTCCCTTCCCCCTCCCCCTTCCCCCTCCCTTCCCCCTCCCTTCCCCCTCCCCCTTCCCCCTCCCCCTTCCCCCTCCCCCTTCCCCTGCTCCCCTCCTTGGCCCAGGTCAGCGCCACCATGTCCGAGGCCTGGTCTCATCCCTGGCAGCGGGTGGGCGGTGGGAACGCCAGTTTCATGCAGGCGGCTGAGGTGCTGGGTGTCAGGGTCTTCACTTCCGGACCCCTCGGAGAGGTGAGTGGAGGCCATGGGTGAGGGGTGAGGGGAGCGGGGGGCGGGGAATAAACTTTTTATGTGTAAAAATCTCAGCAGCAAGCAAGCCTTGGTCGCGTTTCTTTGTTTTGCCAAAAAAAGGCGAAGAGCCAAGGAATGGTAATGGGGGGGAGCGAGGGGTAAGGTGGGTGTGGTTTTAGGTTTGTGACTGAGTATGATGGCTGGGAGAGCGAGGGTTGGGAGGAGAGAGGAAGCCGGGAAAAGAGGAGAGGGAATAAAAGGGTCGGAGGGCGCGAAAAATGGAAAAAGGTAATAGGAAAGTGATGGACGGGTTAGGGAGGGCGGGAGAAGGCGAACCACTCACGAAGGGAGGGAAGGGAACGGGGGAAGGGAACGGGGGAAGGGAGGGGATTTTCCTGATTTTGCCGACAGAGCAACGGAGGCCCCTCCGGCCGCCTCTCAGCCTCGGGGGCGCCATGTTTGGAACCGCAGCTCCCCGCAGCATATTTGGTTAAACATACTCCCGTCTCTGTATTACCATGCGTCTCCCTCCAAAACCGCAAAACTAAAGCATCCCCAATCCCCCCCGATCGGGCCCCCCCTCTCCTCTTCCCCCCCCCCCCACACACACAATATACAAAAACACACACCCCGCCAACAGGGTGATCTCCTCCGTCGCCTGACCGCCCGTCTAGACCCGCTGGTGCAGCTGCGTACCGCGCCCACCACGGCACAGAAACTGCTGCAGCTGGCTCGGAGCACTCCAGGGGGGGCTATGACCACCACCCTGGTGGGCCACAAGACCCGCGAGTTCGTGGAGGCTAACACCAAGTTGTCACGGGTGGAGCCGCTCACGGTGAGGGTGGGGCGTGGGGGGAATTGTGCGAGGTGTGTTTTGTGTGGGTGGGTGTTGGGGGAAGCGGGTTTGCGGGTGAGTGTTAAGGCGTGTATTGGCATGTTTGGGTTGGGGCTGTTGGGCCGCATGAAATCTACGTTGCCCCTCCCCCTTCCCCGGGGAATCATCGTGCGCAGCAGCACCATATGATCTCTCCATCGCACGCACGCATCTCCTAAGACTTTGCAGCGGTGCAATTGGTGAAGACCTGGAAATTTCTGAAGCCTGAAGGCAGGAAAATTTAAACCTTTGCACCCTAAAACTCCCTTCAAAACCTCAGGAGGAGGAGTTCCATGGGGCTATGTTCCACCTGAAGGCCATTTTGGAAGGTTCGGCGGCGGCGGCTGTAGCTGGCAAGGAGGCAGGGCAGTAGCAGTAACAACAGTGACAGAACCCTATAGAATGTCCCATTCCGTGTGTGCTGTTGGGATGCATTCTTCATGCAGTAGCCACACTCAGTGGCGCGTTCGCATCGGATGCAAATGGGAAGCTCCATGCATGGCAGTGTCCGTAATTGTCGTATAACTGTACTCGTATGCCGTATTCATATACGACAGCCTGGTTTCGGATATCGGGACGCCTGGTTTTGGTATTCACAGGCTAATGTTGTGACCAGGACCAACCGTAAGGGGTTTTGATAGTGGTGGTGCTGTGCCGTGGTGGTTGTTCAGTGACGGTTGGGGGTCGTTGTAGATTCGGCAACCACCACATATGCGGCAGTCTGTTGTACTTCTGGGAAGGGGGGCTTCCGGTTTTCAGGTTGTTTATTATTACAGGGTTTAGGGGACCTGGTCCCTCTTCCTGGGCCGCAGTATTGTGACTGCCTTCCTAAGGGGGGCTTCACGGCGACCCACGGCGCAGACGTTGCTGCGACTGCTGTTGTTGCTGTGCGTATGTTTGGGTTTGAGTGAGTGCGGGGCCGGGAAGGGGGAGGGTGCCCGGGGATTGCGCACGCTGGCGCACGGTGTGTCTATGCGTGCGTGCTTGTATATTTGTGTATGTATGTGTGTGATTGTTACACACACCTCACCGGCCCGCTGTGGCGGTGGGACGCTATACCGCCGCACAAGGTGAGAGCGCCGAAATCATTGGAGGGACATTCTATCGGTCGGTGTCAAGACACCTATAGGTATCACGAGGCAGAACGAGTACAAAGCTGCGGTGATGAGCTTCCCGTGCACAGAGGCAGAGGTTCAGACGTCTGTGAGATACTTCATCATGGCATTGACATGGCCATGATGGCATTGACATAAGACGGAGCAGGGCCCTATGCGACCAACTGCCAGGTTTGTTTCTCCGACGTCACAATGAATATGCCACAGCATCGGTGCGTTACATTATAATTTTGTATACCCGGGCTTGAGATATACGGGGAGCCCATCCCTCAGAGGACCGCAGTCCCACCGGCCGATGGGAATCTTCTCTTCTCACTCAAGGGGGCTGAAGAATGCGGAAAACATTTCTTTATAACTTACGGCATTTCGTCCTAAAGACTTCCGAAGGACGGCACCCTTCCGGGCGTCCTCTAATGCCCCCTCGCGTCCACCAGCACAACAACCTGCACAACAACCTCTGCACCAACGGCGCACCCCTCCTCACAACAGGAACAACAAGCCGCAATCTCCTGTAACGTTCCTTCGTGCTGATGGGCGGGACTGGGAGCTGACTGCCTGGTAGCTGTTATCGCGCCCAGCCACGGTCTCTGCGCGTGCGCAGTATGCACAAAAGAAAACCGCCTAGCAGCGGCTATCACTCGCACGTCCCCATCATATCACATCTGCTCTTGGTCTAGAGCTCTACGGATCTACAACCCGGACGCACCGCCACACCGGACTACTTCTCTTCGCAACAAGTATTTTTTCAGACTTCCGTCGCCCCAACAGAAGCGCACAGGAGAAAAATATAATGAAGTAAAAGACAGTTGGGTGTCAGATACAGTCCCACTGCAATACAAACCCCTCTCTAATGTACAGACACAGACAAACACACAAGTGCGCAGGACAGGTGCCTCGTAATTTCTTCATTCTTATACCGGAGGGCCACTTCCCATTTTGCTTCGGCCCATTTTGGTCCGGAATGGGACGAGCCCGCCAAATGCTAAAGTACGAATAAATGACATGTAAGCACAAGCTCATGTAGATAGATATAGATGGATATATGTACACACAAACACACAAGACAAGAAAACGTTCGCGTATTACGGACCGTTGTGGTTTTACTCTTTATGTTTTCCTTCTCTCATCTCTCCTCCTTCTCCTCCTCCTCCAGCTTTTGATCGTACGTTTTTTCGCCCGTGATCACTTCCCGTTCCTACCTGACATGAGCTTCTCATGCACAAGGTGATGGACACATTCTTTGTCTCCGCCGCTGCCCCTTTTGCCCCCTCCCGCGCTGCTGCTCCTGTGTACGATTCTCACGCTTAACCCCCACTTTAATAACAAAGTAAACAAGGAAACCTACAGGACTAAAAACGGACTATAAAACCCTAAGTACTGCCAATCGAGGGGCGGCGGTAGCGCCAACAGCTGCCCACAGGACGGTATGTACGGCAGCCTTTGTACTGCCCCGTACTGCTGCCGGCCGGATACTCCCCCCCAAACCCCCTCAGCACGTCTCAGGAGTCGTACACAGCCACCACTGGCACACCGCAACTCACACAACATATTATGGTGATACGTGGCGCTCTCTCACCCCCTCCCCCCTTCTCCTAGTCTTCTCCTGGACTATATCCGTCTGTCTCTGAAGTCTGTTTCATTCGCTAGTGGTTCGCCTTACCCCCCCCCCGGGGCCCGGCGTCCCTTCCTGCGACACACACAGACACAACGCTACGTTAATAACATAGGGCCCTGGCGCCTGGCCGGCCCCCCCTTCACAACTCACGTACTTCCCCATCCCCCGCACCGAAACCATCACCGCCACCTCCGCGGCCGTCGCCGTCTCCGCTGACTACATGACCACGACCGCCCAGCACCGCCATGCCGTTCCACAGCACCCTGCCCATCAGATGTCCGTACAGGAGCAACTCCCACAACAACAACACCAGCAGCACCGCCAGAAGAACTCCAACGGCTCGATAAAGAAGACCACACGGGTCGCGGCCGCAACCGCCGCCGCCGCCGCCGCTGCCGCTGCGGCTACCGCCACTGCTATTCCCTGGCTCGACGTCCCCTTGTCGCCGCCGCCGCTGCTGCTGCTGCTGCTTCTGGCGATACAGCCGTAGCCGCTGTGCTGTCCGCGGCGACAGCCGCGACAGGGGCTCCGCAACCTGCTGCTGCTGCTGCTGCTGAAAGGAAGCGGGAGAGGGAGAACGGGGTAGATTGGATTCGTCAGAGGGCCGCCGGAGAGAGCGTCGCAGCCCCTGGCAGCCTCCGGCGGCACCCTCAGCCCTGCCGCCGCCATCGCTTTCGTCGCTGCCGCTGTCACTACTGCCGCTTTCCAAGGGGTATGCCTTCCTCAGGAAATGCTCCCTGGAGCCCCTCTCCAGGAGGTAAACAAGAGAGGTGGGCAGTACGAGGCCTAGCAGGAGCTGCGCGAGTGAGACAGTAGCCCAGCAGGCATCAGCTGGGGAGAGATAGTCCACGAACCAGCCAGCAGCTGCGGCGTCACCACCGCCGCTATCGCCGGTGCCGCCGGAGGAAGTCCGCGTGTACGACATGGAATTAGTGTAAATGTAGGAAGCGGCTGTCGTAGGAGGTAGGGGGCCGGGGGAGAGGAGCAAGAGCCGGCGGAGGTGGCCGGAGAGGCCGGCGGCGTACCGTACGGTTCGCCACAGCGCCGCCATCAGGGCAGCGCCACGGGCGTTACTGCGTACGACGGTGCAGACGTGGGGACCCAGTTCGTGCGCAAAGGCGAAAGCTGCGAGGAGGTTGTACGGCAGATGGTACTGCAAGAGCAGAGGCCAGCCTAAGGAGGCCCAATTGAGACAGCCAGCGCCAGAGGTAAGCACCAAGTGGATTACAAAAATACCTGGGGAGGGGAAAGTGAGGGTTACGGGAAAAGGTGAGGTAAGGGAATGTATGAATTTTGCCGGATAGGTTTGGGATTGTTACGGCGCCTAGAATCCCCGGTGTGCCATCTTACCGACAGAACGGACGGCCACGGCGGGTGACCATGAGGGCAGGCCTCGCACAACGCTGCAGTCCACCAGAGCCCGGAACAGAAGCTGGATGCAGTGACGATGACGCTCATAGATGCGCCATGGAAGTGCTTGGATGACCAGGCAGTTGGTAAGGCAGATGGCGGGGTAAGCGATGTTCGCCCAGTGGAATGCGATGGACGGAAATATGAAAGGCTGAAGGATGAAGAAACTTGCCGCCAGAAGTGTTTGTGCTGCAAGGTAATGGGTGTCAAGCACACGAAAGAAGGCACGTAGTCGGTAGGCATGGTAGGCTTGCTCCAGCGCACCGTCATGGAATCGCAGTGTGAGCGGATGCACGAATTCATCCATTCCAAACTCTGGGACGGTAAGGCGCAGGCCTGAAACCAAGAATTGAAGACGTTTGTCTCATGATCTCATGGAATTGCGTAGGGAGTCTGCATCGCCAACGAAAAGCAACCGTTCCTTCCGGAGGATTATATAGGAAAACGTCTGCTCACGGTTCTACAGAACCAATTCATATCTGCACACGCACACATCCCTCTTTGCTGAATCAATTGAGAGGTTTGTACATAAAGCAGTACGACCATAACGCTTTGCAGGACGTATGGCACATTGTCCTGATGCCCCTTCAAACAATCGGCTCAGGCCATTTTCTATGCCAGGGATAAAACCCTGAAGGCGCCCGATATCCGGCCACCTTGCGCGTGAGATAGTGACAGCGCTTAAACGAATTTTTTTGAACGGCCCTAGAAATATGTGTGGGCGCAAAAGCGGTTAAGCAATTCCAAGATTCACCTTGCCAACGAAGCCCCATAGATGTGCATACCGTCAACGATGCGCGTCCTGGCGCACGTACGTTTTTTCCCGCAGCTTTTCATTCGATTGTACAAGGAGAACGGCAAACGCTGATTGATCAAATGGTCGCAGGAGAGCCCAATGCTGTGAAATTGTCGACAATCAGCAAAGGAATCGTGCCGTACACGAATTCCCTTGCACAGGAGTTCAGTGTTTCATTCATATATGCACTCGGTACTCACGACGACGTTAACCCACACGCAACTTGTCCAACACCATCCTGACATTAATCGAAATTCGGTCATTACGTCGTGCTGGCCAACTTCCTCTCTAAGCCATCCTCCTTTTAGCAAGCTCTAAGCCGCTTTCAGCCGAGGTCCATGCCGATGCCGTCCAACCCCAAAACTTACAATCCCCCATGCCCTCTCCTCCCCTTCCATCTTTGGACTCCAGAAATCCTCAACTTTGGACGTCGGCAGTTGTTTCCCCTCTCCTGACTTTCCTGGCCCCATATGCTAGTCACCATTTCCCTCCTCACCACGGGAAGCAAGGGAGCTAATTTCGAAAACCCCGCGTCTTTGCACGTTGTTGCACGTTTCCCGGGAGCCAGATTCCGTGGCGGCGGCGCGGCTGCTGCCGAAGCCAGAGCCGCATTACAGCAGTCGGAAGAGTCCCGGCAGCAGTAGCAGCAGCAGCAATAGCAGTAGCAGTAACATCAGTCATAGGCTGCTGCTGCTGCTGGAGGTCGTCCGCCCCCCCTCCCTCTCCCCCTCTGGCCCCACAGCTTGCAGCATCCATCACCGCCTCCCTGTCCCCCCACTCCGCTTCCATCGCCACCAGCTGCCGCGCAAGGTGCTGAGCTACAGCCATGCCCTCGAAATTGAGCCAACGGCGAGTGACCTAAAGAGGGGATGAGGGAGGGAAGGTGGGCTTCAGGGCTTTGGTGTTTTAGGGTTTTAGGGTTTTATGGAAGCACGGACGGACGAGGGGAAGGTAGGGGGAAGGAGCGGAAGAGGGAATGTCGATAATTCTCGCGGAGAGGGAGATGCACGAGGTGCTGAATCATCTTGGCGGTCCTCAGGAAACCGTAATCATCTGGCGCCAAGACGAAGTCCGTTTTAAGTTAGTTAAAAGTCAGTAAACCATGATCAAGAGCATTTTAAGGCTGGATAGGCTGGCTGGCAACAAGCAGTGAGGGCCGCGCCTGCCTCCACATCCGCACACCGTTGCGCAAAAAAGCCACCGTAATACCCTTTTCTCCCCCCCACACACACATACCTCCCCAGCTTGCAGGCGTGACGTTGCGTTTGATGTTGTGCTCGCGCTTCGGACATTATTGAGAAAATACTTCATAATTTTAAGCTATATAACAAAAATAGCCTTTAAGCTGTAAAGATATGCTATAACGCACTTCCCTTAGCCGCTAACGCACAGTCGCGCCCTTTACCGTCTGCAAATCTGGCCGTACGTAACCGGGCCGTATGTAACCGCCGCGAGCGCTAAAACCCTAACACCCCAGACCCCACCTGGATGTTATTGTGGGCGAAGCCGAGCCTGGAGCCCTGAAACGATACGTCGATGCGCCGCCACGGCAGCCGCTGCAGCCGTCGCAACATCACCTCAGCCATGGTCGCAGTTGCCGCCGCCTCCGCTTCCTCTGACGTCGCCGCTGACGTCGCCGTTGACGTCAAAAGCACCGTGGTGGCAGCAGCCACTGAAACGGAAGGCTGCTGGATAGTGGACACGCCATCGCCACCTGCTGTCGTACCAACGGTTCCGTTTGTACGGCTGGCGGTGGTGCCGGGTCCGTTGGTCCCTGTCTCTTCCCTTGTCGCGGTATTCGATGAACACAGCTGTGGTGATGTTGCGGATAGTGGTGGTGGCGGCGGTGTAGGCAGGTCGATGGGTACATCACTCGGACTCGTAGCCCGTTGGGGCTCATCAGTAACCAGTCGGCCACGAACATGGAATGCCGCCATTAAGGGGTCCTGCGGGGAACGGGGAAAGGGAGAGAGGGGGGAGACTGTGTGTATATTGTGGGGATGCGTAGGGGCTTCAGTGATGGGTCGGAGTGGAAACACTCCACATGACAACGACAACAACAACGACAACAACGACTCTTTGGGGGTTATTAAATGAAGGGGTTCAGGAGGGGGGGGCAAAGACGAACCACGAACGAGTGAAGGGGTTCAGGGGGGATCCTCAACTGCGAGGCCCACATGAAGCGCTGGAATGGAATGTTCGCGAGTTCGTGGCAACGCCGACACCACAAAAATATGGAATAACACCTCCCCGCTTTTAACTGCCCCCTTACATCTGTTCCCATTTTCTGTCTGACCTTTCCATTTCCACTTGGCACAGTTGATGAATACGTTTGCTGGAATTTAAACTAACCCAATTCAAACTGCCTATTTTGCCGCCTTTTTGTCAGGTTTTTGGCTTCTCGGACCCAGAGGTCGGTCAGCGGGCGGGACGCTGTCATGGATGCCCCTACAAGCAAACGCCGCCTCAGGTGAAAGGCCATACTTGCAGGAGTATGGGCGGGGGCCATAGCCTGGTGCTGCAACTGTGACACTGGTCCCTGATCCTAGGATCCTAGAGATCTATCATTGATTGGGAGCACATATGGGTCAACGGTGCACCATTCCGGGACTGGCCCGCGCCATTCCAGAACCGGCTGTACGACTGATGAGATGGCTGCATCCCCGCTATCCAAGCGGACAAAAATCTTCCAATCGGTGTCTTCCGACGCCACCATCTAGTTGTGTCCTGATTAAGATGTAACATCTCCCCCAACCGCTCGCCGATTCCATACACCCACACCCACACCAAAACAACCATACATACATGCACACATGCACGCACCTGCAGGACAACCCCCCGCGCCGCCTTGACAGCCGCCTCAGGTAGTTGCGGCAGTTGGTGCAGGAAACGCAGGGAGGAGTTGGCCCAACCAACTAGATGATCGCCGTCTGGGGTTGTTAAGGGGGGGAAGGAGGGGAAAGAGGTTCTCGCCAGCGAGGGAGCAGTTTCCCCCCTTCCGTAACCCCCGAGCAACTTCGCTTAGTGTGTTGGGGTGGTTGGCATGGCATTAGCAAAAAGGCTTCGGGGGCGGGGAAAGCTAACTGGCGGGTTCTGATCTAAGTTTGGAATGCATGCGGAGCGTGGTTTGTCGGGGTTGGGGGCCATGCGGTATGTGGGTCATGTTTTAGAGAGTCAGCAGCCAACAACATCACGGAAGCCATTTCGTACGAAATACGAAATGGCTCCGCATTGTGCTATCTACTACATATTAGCCTGACATGACTGGGATTGAAGATAAAGGGTTGACCTACATCATTAAGTTATGGGTTGTACGGATCGTACCACAACATGGGCGTTACTATGCCGTACATGTTACCCCGGGAGATGTTCATCACGCGAAAGAACCGCAAGGGTGTACTCCGGTGGCATGTTGCAAGGCGGCCGTGATTATGACGTGTAGCTCTGATCTATATATGTCGCGTGGTTGATACTATTATTAGGTAAGAGGCAGTTTTTACTTCTTACTACACATAAGATTGAACTTGCGATCGACCCTCCTGCCTTCATGACGCGTATGCATGGTTCAGTAAGATCACATCAATGTACGGAAACCCACCCATATTGGCGTACGCGGTACGACTGGCAAAGCTGGCCAGGGCTGAATAAAAGTACAGTCCCCGCTCCGGCTCGTCCTGTGTCATGCAGTACAGCAACGGCGGCGGTGCTACTGCCGGACTCCCCTTGGGGCCGCTGCTCAGCCCGCGAGGGCCGCTGCTGACACCAGCGGCAGTAGTGCCGCCCCTGCCGTTACTACTGCTGCTATTGTATCGCATGCCGCTACTGCCCCCATCCACCAGGAAGAACTGTCGGCCCGTGCGCCGAAACATGAGACTGGCTGTGGGGATGGACAGAACCTGCTGGGCCAGGCGGGCGGCATGCAGGGAGGGGGAAATCGAGGGAGGCGTGTGCTGTGGCAAATCACCAATATGTAGCCACACAACCACTTACATGACTGCGAAGATGCGACCTAAAACCAACCCTCAAGTTACCCCATGACGGGGCCATACGCCACCATAAGCTTTTGCTGAACCCTGGTGAGCACAGCGGCATGCACCGGTGCATGCTAGCGTGCACAACACCCAACGCGCAATCGTTTACCTTTTCACCTACCCACTACCCCCCACTCACTTCCTGCCCCCGGCCCCCCCGCCACCTGTAGCATTCGCTGCACGGGTTTGACCGGGACCCAGCTGATCAGGGGAACCTGCGCGCGATTGGTTTGGTGGCGGGGAGATGAGGATGGACGGAGGGAGAGAGGCAGGAAAGGGCGGGAGGAAACACGTGGTTGAAGTCCAGAGAGAAGTATAAGAAGAGCACTTTGGGAATGCATGGGGGCTCAAAAGGGTTGCAAAAGGCTGAGCCGCCTTTCCTGGCCCGACCCTTGCTGCCAACGGGCGCGTATCTACACAATGCCCTGACAGGTACCTCAGCACAAGTAAAATCCCCTCCGACAACAGCTAGCTGTTCACAACACCACACTGGCTGGCAGCTACCATCAAGCATGCAGCCGAGAACAGTGACACAATGCTGGTCTGGGAGGGCGACTTCAACTTTGTGGACGATCCAGGGCTGGACTCCACAGCGGGGCAGGTGAGGGGGGCATGAGGGGGGTGACAGGGCTGACAATGATAAACAGCCACCGCCAGCTGCATGTCTCAGGGTGGCTGCAAGGCGTCTTGTGGCCGCTGGCTCTCTGCACCTTTCGTTTTTGGAGGCTTCTGTTTGGTTTCGTTTGCTGCGGCAGGCGACCTCCCCTGCCCGGGGTGACTCAGCCATTACGCCCCCTTGGGTTCCCTTGTGAGTGGGCGGGCTTCAGGGGTTTCAGAGAGCCTCTGCCCTAGCTGAGTCTTGTGGGGTCGTTCAGGCGGGACTTGAGGAACCTTCGTGTTCTGGCGCATCGCAGCGCTATCCCCGGACAGCGGTGCTGCTGAGCGGCTGCGTCGCGTCCTGGCAGAGCCTGAACCTGAGCCGAGTCAGGAGGGGTCGGGAGCAAGCAAGACTAGCCGCGACCTGTGCTGTGTGTGCTCCCGACCCTTGCGCTGTGCTTTGGCTTATGCGCCCCCCGGCTTCCGCATTGCCCACTGTGTAATCAAAGTCGTACATATATATATGTATATATATACATACATACACACCAATTCCTACCTGAGCCAGGCCCCCTGCATCGCAACCCAAATGGGGGGTAGCCAGGCTGATGAAGTGGGCGGGCTTCAGGCCCGCTATCCGTCCAGTGGAGCGGTCGTACAACAACACAACGGCGTACCGCAGCAGCAAACCCCCCTGCATGTGTGTGAATATGTACGAGAAGGGGAAGGATTTTCAGGTGTCAACTTAGGGTTTTTTAAGGGAAACTTTGCATGTGAAGAATTTCAAGGGCTCCTTTTGTTGTATAGCACGAATGAAAGAAAGGAGGGGCCCCAGAACGTACGTTCCCAGATACGGTGTACGAGCGTATGTGTGGCCCGCTGCCTGTCTGCCTGTCTGTCTGTTTGCCGTACCATGGAGTGGCCGATCACGGAGATGCGCTGCAGAGAGGGGTGCGCCGCAACCACCGACCGGATCTCGTCCGCCAGACGCTGACCGCACACGTCGATCCCGTCGTACGTATCTGTACGACGATTGACCTGGCGAGTGGCAAAATGACCGGATGGCGGGTGGGGAAAGCAATCACGAGTCGATGTTAAAATGATCGTCACCGGTTTTGGAATACGCGAATTGCATTTTCAACATGTTTCAGAATTAACGTGTCGGGGAATGGTCGTGTGTATGCAGGAGGGATGGGAAACATACGAAACCATCGCCACGACAAGCGCCGGCGCCGCAGCCATCATTGTCGTACCTTTGAAGGGTGAAGTAATACAGCCGTCATGTCTAGGTGCTCGCGCAACTGTTCGCAGATGACGGACCAATTCGAGGGGGAACCGAACAGCCCATTTGCCATTACGATTAGGTGTGTTGCTCCGGAACCGCGGCCGCCGCCGCCACCAGCGCTGCTACTGCCGCTCCCGCCGCCGCCGCTAACCCTGCGGGCAGCAGCGTCGGTCGGTGCCGTCGCCGCCGCAGATACCGACGGCAGCGTCGACAACGGCGAGGATGAGGAGGGTAAATGACATTTGGGTTTGGAGAATGGCAGCGGATCAGGCGGCGGTACGACATCGCTGGCGGCTGGGAGGTCAGCGTTTACGAGGCGCGGCGTGCTGCCGCGTCCGCCGCCGCCGCCATGGCTGCTACTGCTCTGCGATGGCGTCATCTTTAGAAAATGCCAACAGATGGCGGCGGCGCCGCCACTGACGTTAGCACCTCGCCCGCTCCTGTTAATGCGGTGGCCGCCGCCGCCACCGCCGCCAACGCTACTGCCATGTCCGCCGCCATTACTGCCACTGTGGCGGTTACAGGCAGCTGTGCCATGTAAGTCACGAGTGGATTCAGGGCCAGCTGTCGCGGCGGCGGCGGCGGCGGCGGCAGGACCGACGGATGCGGCGCCGCTCATAGCCGCCACAGTCAGAGGTTCAGCGGCGGGGCCGGTGTCACGGCGGGCATCATCGCTGGCGGCGGCGGACGTCGCCGTCGTGCAGTGTACGGCAGATCCTATGTGCAGCAGGAGCGACTGGCGCCACGCATGCAGCCTTTCGACATGCGCCGCTGCCGCCGCCCCAGCGGCGCTGACGGTGGCCGCGGCCCGGGCGGCAGCTGCGGCCGCTAAATTCGGCTTTGCGCCAGTACCGGTCGCGACTGCGGAGGTGGAGGTTATAACGCGCGGTGGGGTGGCGCCTGCAGCCGTTGCGTGGTCGCTGGTGCGCACCACCGCTAGCGCTAATGCTGCCCCGCCGTCAATGGGTGCTGGAGTGGGGGGCCATGGAATTGGGATATCGCGGGTCATGATATTCCTTATCAGGATATGACAAATACAGAATTCGCAATATGCAACTTCTAGATGCGCAGCTGCGCACGACATTGCGCGCTGGCAGAGAGAGGGTTAGGGTAGTAGGATGTCACACCTCAAGCCATATGGTTTGGCCAGAATGCTGGGCAGATAGGAAGCGGTTAATGGTCTCTCTAGCGAGCATGACCTTGCCTGCTGATTGGAACCTGTTAAGTAGGTTTGGGGGGACGCAGGCGTTAACCGTCCGCAGATTAAGTGTCGGTGCACTGGGGAGAGGAAGGTTACGACTAATGGAACAGGATCGCGGTTTGGGCCTTGCAGGCTGTTGGAAGCCTGTCGAATACACGTGTTCCCGGAAAGCAATTCTGCTCAAGATATCGGGCCTGTTCGCATCACATCATTACCTGCATATCCAGACGGCAAAGGTCCCAGCTTGGATTTCAGACCCAAGAGCATTCGCAGCGCTGGGAGACAGTTGCCCTAGCAGCTATGCACACCTCTGGAAACTATACACGGATGAAGACCCTTCACCTTGTTTCATTCATTCAACACCTGAAGTTTGGAGTTCATCGCTTGTAGATTATTCGGGCAATTACCGTTTTTCCTTGATGCCGTACAAATTGGGCGAGGCGCAAGGAGACGAGTTGCAGCTTGACAATTTATTTCATACATCAAATTTTCAGTCACCCTGTACATGATAGACACGACTCGTGCTTAAGTGCATTTTTTGGCGACCTTCCGCCGCGATAGAGCCGCGCCTTAGAAACTACCCTGGATTAGCAGTGCAGTTTCCTGGGCATCAACATCTATGGAGCCATGGCTAGCATGAGGGCGCTGGTGTGTGGCGAAAGGCACATGAAGACGACTTTGAAGTCCTCAGCGACATGTGCTTTCCGCTTGCACCGCAGGTCTAGCTGTGCGCTTTGCGCCGCGCCCTGCACCTTCTGTTTACCCAGATAAGCTGCTGATCACGTTATAGTGACCGCTGCGGCCATGGAGGAGTCGGGCGCGGAGGAGGTTCGCATTCTCTTCAGCACGGCAAAGGGGGAGCACTACACACACAAGCAGGGCTATAAGCAATTATTTCGACGTCTGAGATCAGCATATAGGCCAGATAAATTCGATAAGGATGACTTCAGTTTGGACACGCTGCGGTCAGCGCACATATTGGTCTTCGGCTGCCCCAAAGAGAAGTTCACGGCCCCCGAAGTGGATATGCTCAAACGGTTTGTTAAGGGTGGCGGCTCAGTTCTTATTCTCATGTCAGAAGGTGGCGAGGAGAAGGCCGGGACGAACATCAACTACTTCCTCGAGCAGTTCGGGATGTCGGTGAACAATGACGCTGTCGTGCGCACCACCCATTACAAGTACCTCCACCCGAAAGAGGTGCTCATATCTGATGGCATCCTGAACCGCGCCGTGATCACCGGCGCGGGCAAGAGCCTCAGTAACAGTAACGACGATGATGAGTTCCGCGTATCCAAAGGTCCGCAGGCCTTCGATGGGACGGGATTGGAGTTCGTGTTCCCCTTCGGTTCCACGATATCCGTCCAAAAGCCGGCCGTGCCCATCTTGTCCAGCGGAAAGATCGCCTACCCAATGAACCGACCCGTGGGCGCCGTGTGGGCACAGCCAGGATATGGTCGCATCGCGGTTGTGGGGTCGGCAGCAATGTTTGACGACAAATGGCTCGACAAGGAGGAAAACTCGAAGGTCATGGACTTTTTCTTCAAGTTTCTGAAGCCGGTGAGAACAAGAAGCGTGTGGTGCGCTTTCAGAGCTGCGCTTTGGGGCTGGGGGGAGACTCGAGGGAGGGGGGGACGCAACAGGCTTCTGGCGTCCCCGCGGCTGGCCACGTGTATGGCCCAGGCGCCATCTAAAACGTGGATGTAGACGCCACGGTAGTTGTGGGTAAGAGGTGGCCGGGAGCGGACAGCGATGGCAAGCAGGTAGGCAACGGTGTAAGCACCACTCTGGTACACGGGCATTGTATTAATCTGCATAATGGCCCATAAGTGGTGCGCCCCGGCCCAGCCGCCAGGAGTCATGGCGGCTAGGGGGTCGGTGGATGGCTGGCGCGTGCAACACGGAACGGCAGCACGCGACGTTTATGAACTGAGGGTCTTGGGCATCGTGCATGCCAGACAAAACTATAAATTTACGGTTAACGGAATTCCTTTGGGGGCTTAGCTTTAGGGCTCTTGGTTACTCTGAAATTCCAGCACGACCGGACTGGGGTTCTAGGGCTTGTATCGCATTACACGGAGCGCGTATCGCAAAGGGGTAGCAAGGATGTTGGCGGCAAGGATGCGAGTGTCACCTATGGGTGGTCCCAGTCCAAGAGCACTTCCCTGGGAAAGATATACAACCGAAATACAAAACATTAATTGCCACTGGGGGCCCTGCTGTGCGGACTGCTACCCAGCCGCTAAAATGGTCCCACCAGTTAAGAGGGCTGCACCTCCCGGAGGTTCGCTTCTTGGGCCTGAAGGAGTGTATGCGTGCCATATCTGGTTGAACTCTTCGTCACGTTCAGGCCGGGCGGCAGTAACATTGGGTCCCAACTGGGAGGCAAGGCACAGCTATCCGTGATGCCAGGTGCCGCGCATTTACAGCTACTGCAGCGGCGGCGGTTGGTGTCATCTTTTCGGTATATTTCCTGGCACCAGCTCGGTCCGATGCTATGGGCTGGTGTAGTGTAGCGCGCAGCTGCCCTGCAATGGCCCCGCCATTTATGCATGCTCGTCCATTGCTCAAGTACTGGGGCCTTGACATCGGAGTGCATATGTGCGGACGTGTGCGTGTGCATGTGTGTGTGTGTGCATGAGTACAGAACTCAAAGATTTCGCTCAATGACATTGACGCGGAGGAGCCAGACGTGAGCGACCTGAAGCTGCTGCCGGACACTGCCAGCTTGGCGGACAAGCTGAAGGGGTGCCTGCAGGTGGGTGGGGCTTTGGGGTTAACCAGGAGTGCCGCAGCTGCAAGGCCTTCGAGTTTTGCCCGGGTGTTTTGCGCCTGAATCTGCGATGTCGGATTGAGCAGCGCGCGAAGCTGCCTTAGAGTGCAGTCTCCACTGCAATGTTGGATGTCGAAGCCTGGCGCGGAGGGTTGCGTTTGGGGTTTGGGGCTTTGCTCTGGCGGCGCGCTGTCGGTCTCAGTCGCTGTCCATCGATTATGCGTTAGGTACTCCGCCATCCCGGAGGGCTTCACTGGTAGACACCCGCCTCCTACCACACTGCCCTGTGTCTTAAGCGTCTTCCGCGCTTTCACAATAATGAGCGTTGCTTCCTCCTAATACATCCATGTACGCCGGTACGCGCATACATTCCCGCAGGAAATCGACGAGGTTCCTCGGGACTGGACCTCCCTCTTCGACGACTTGCTGTTCAAATTCGACATGTCGCTCATTCCGGAGTCCGTAGCGCTATACGACAAGCTGGGTGTCAAGAAGGGCGCGTTGAACCTGATCCCACCCTCCTTCGAGACGCCGCTGCCGCCGCTGCAGCCTGCCGTGTTCCCGCCCACTATCCGCGAGCCGCCGCCCCCTGCCCTGGAGCTGTTCGACCTGGACGAGAGCTTCGCCAGCGAGACGGTGGGTTGTCCGCGTTTCCGCGCGCATGTCCGCGCGTGTGTTTATATGTTTGTGGCGCGTGTCTTAGTTCTCATCTCAGTTCCCCTCTGTGAGCAGCTGGGGAAAGCAAGAACACCCGGCATGGGTGTGACACTTGAGAGAACAGGAACTGCTATACACCCTCCGCTCCCCACCTTTTTCACGTTCCTTTCCCGCACCGTCATCTACGGACTGCTTCTGCACCCTTTCCGCGATCCCTCATGGCTGTCCTAACTCCTAAAGACATGAATCTGCGCCTCCCTGTCCACTATCGTCTCGCTGTGTGTCACGCTGGTGCACCGCCACAGAACCGCTTGGCCTCGTTGACCAACAAGTGTCACGGGGACGAGGACCTGGAGTACTACATCATGGAGGCGGGCCACATCCTGGGGCTCAAATTGCCGGAGAGTGCCAATGCAAAGGTGTGGCGGGGAGCTCTTGGACAGGGATGGCGGGCTTAAGAAGGAACACAGCAGACCCCCTTCATAAGAAAAAAGAATACAAACTTTGTGTTCATGGACGGTCCAAAAGGGGAAAAGGAGGGAGAAGAAGCGGGGTTTTTCACGTATCAGTTCGTGCCGGGTAGGCGAGGCTGAAACGGCCTGGCCGCGCGTTTAGGCGCCCGGCAGCGTCGTCATGCCTGTAGTTGATGCACGGTGAGGCTGGAGAGTGAGAATTTTCACCACGATTCTGGCGGGCGTTGTGAGAAGTAGGGCAGGCTGTCGGGCTACGTACAGGTCATTAGCCCAGAAAGCGAGGAACGACTACTCCACAAAAAAGGTCGTTCCCCGCTGAAGCTACCGGCAGGCCTTCCACGGGCCCCCTGCATCTTCCCAAACTAGATTGCAGTAGACAGGCTTGTGGCACCTGGGCCTGTCCCTCGTCCCTCTCCTCGGCTTTTCAGGGTATATTCTTACCCTTGTTTTTCCTCGTATACAGAGTAATCTCTTATCTCTTTCTGTCCTCAACGGCTTGCCAGGAGCCAGTTTTGTTTCTCATAACTTATCTCGTACATCGCATTTTGTTTATTCCCATTTCGCAGCACGTGTTGTCGGAGGTGTTCCGCCGTATCGCCCAGTACAAGATGGGCTCGCTGGGCTTGGGCCAGACATTGGACGGCATGGGCCAGACCCTGCCATCCCACCAGTTTGGAGACCAGTTCGAGTTGTGAAGGCAGGGCGAAGGAGGCGGAGGCGGCGGGGCTTGTAGGGCCACATCTGTGCGCCTGCGCGGCTGCTGCTGCTGCTGCCACGGAAGAGGAGGCCAGCGGGGTCCCTGCAGCTGCTGCAGTCTGTGGGGTGCGGCGTCTTCGACGTATGTAGCCACATAGAGCGGGGAAGAGGAGAATGGGGAAGAGGGAGCTACTTGCCAGAGGAGCACCTCAAATGCCGTGTGGCGGGTGCGCATCGGGCAGGGGTTCGCGTCTGGGAGGCGTCCCCAGGCTTTCATGCGCTGTGGGGCGTAGTTGGCGCTGGAACGAGGGGTTGGAACGCAATGTGGGAGTGCCGAAGCCAGCGCAGTCGGTAACATGCTCGCTGCATGAACGGCGTAAGGCTTCAGCGACGTGAGCGCTGTGGGTGGCGATCTGCGAATAGCAAAACAAGCAGCGTGTTGTTGTTCGTTGCGGGGATGACCTTGGATGCGCTCTTCCACCCCACCACACTTCATATCACTTCACTGCGGTGCACGGTACGTTGTGGCGGCTCGCGGCTGCCGTGCTGGACGGCTGATGAATGGAGGGGGACACGTTGTAGTTCGGCCCTACTGCAGGGCTACAGTGTTGATGACGGCCGTTACCGTCGCTGAGCTGCAACCTCCTCCCTTCGTTGGGCTGATTGGCACCGGACCCTGCCATGTGACAACATGGAAGGATACCGGGTGACAGTTCGGGGTGTGGGCCGCGGCAGGGGAGGCTGCACGAAAATGGCCGCCTGTAGAGGATGAAATGGGTCGAGGAACAAATGTTGTCTGCTGCGAAGCGCTCGTGGCACACATACGCACATGCGCACACGCTGGCAGATTGTGTGGGGAGTGTACATAGCTTTGAATTATGGCTGGCATGCGGGCATGTGCGTGTGAGTGAGCAGGAAGGGACAGTGATGCGCGGGTATTTGCCATGGCGGTGCCGCGGCTGGCTGGTTCATTCGGTGGCTGAGTGTACCAAGTATGGCAGCTGCGATGTGCGGTACCATATTATAGTAACCTGTAAGGCGGCGCACTTGGGGGGGGACAGCTTTGGAACGCAGCGGCGTGGGTTGGCTTGGCTTGCTCGCTGAGCGGGACTGCAGGGTATCTACGATGTAAGGATAATGGATGGATGGATATGTTGCTAAGGTGGATTGATAGAGAAGATGCAGAGGGAGGTGGACCCAAGGTCCCGACAACCCGCGGCTCAGGGCGGGGTGGGCCAACCGTTGGCCGCAAGTATAAGGGATAACAGCTCAGGCATCATGCACACGAGTGCAAAGGTGCAACCCCTCGGAACTGTAAGCTTATGGATAGCCGATGCACAGCGCGGCGCGTTACCAAAGGCTGAGGTTGCAGCGTGCAGCAATGGTATGGGAATAGATGAAAGTGCAGCGCCCCGTTCCGGTACTTGTTACTATTGCTTCATCAAGACATCACCTCTTACATCCACACAGCTCAAGTTCAAATTCATTTATACTTCATTCATAGAGTGCAAATAATCTTATAAACTGCGATATAAAAATTCCCTGTTTTGTTTGTTACAAGCTTCTTGAGCTCGAGGCCGCGAGCTCGTAAGACTCGGACCTGCCAGGAGGCTCATGGACCACTACACTCAGCAACAGAAAATAAGGACATTAAAATTAGGAAAATGTATAGTACGACAGATACCACGACATGCAAACCGAAAAGCAATCTGATGCCTCCCCAAAGGTCGCACTAAGTGATTAGGGTAAGAAGCAGATAAGGGTGTTTTCGAAGACCATGTATAACCTGACCACCCTGATTTCAGACTGTCAGCTTCGCCTCGTGACTTTCCACTTGACTCCTAATGCCTGGCCATGGTACTCTTGTGCCGTGGCGGATATGGGCTGACCACTGCTTATCGATGTTGCTAAAAGCCTGGCGGGAAGTTTGTACTCGGGCACGACCGCAACCCCCTCTTCTTGGTGCACAAACACGATGGCAGCACTCGGCGTCACGCCACCACCAGTCCAGGTGGCAGCAGCTTACCATTGGCAGCGTACTTGCTATGCTTGTACTTGCGTTGCTGTATTTTGATAGCGGGTCGTCTAGTCGCCGAACACATTCATCGGTCACCCTTACTAAACCTTCATTTGGTAACGGGGATCATCTGTCCATAAATAAACATGTTAGCACTATGGCAGACGACGACAAGGCGCTTTGTCACGCGCTGTCGCAAATCCAGGTACGGTGGAATGTATTCCTGTTGTTTAGGCATCAACGGGAGGACCCTTGTTTGAAGAGTATGCCAGGCGCAAACGTGCTTCACCGCACGTGACGCGGTACCAGGGACCTTGCTTTTTTCCACTCCGCTTGTGCGCTGGTCCGTCAGCTGTCCAGGAAAAAGCGATCCTGAATGCAGCCCCATATGGTACACCTGGATGCCATACTCCCCCCGACTGAATGCCGTCCCCCCAAAACCCCTTTCCATGACGCAATCCACACACGCAGGTATGTAGCCACCGAGCCTCACTGGGCTCCAGCGACAAGGGCATTGACGCGCCCTTTCTGGAGCGGCTCTCCCGCCTAGCAGCCAGCGGCATCACCTGTTACGACGTCGACGTCGCCGCCACTGCCGACGGGCAGCTCGTAGTCGGCTACCCCAACCACATCATCACCGAGCTCCGGGCTGCAGGCCGAGGCGCTGCTGCTGCCGCCGCCGCGGCGGCGGCCGCGCAAGGCCAGCCATTTCAGGTGGACTCCGTTTCCTGGAGCGAGTACGTGGCAGCGGGTCTGGATCAGCGTCACCCGCTGCTGCAGGACGTGCTGAGGGTCTTTGCGGAGATGGTGTCGGAAGACGCGAAGAAGAGGAAGAGGAAGCGGGAAGAGGAGGAACAGCAGGGGGCCGCGGCGAAGGAGGAGGGACCTGAGGGCGGAGCGGGCGCTGGAGTAGGAGGGCAGGGGGATGGTGTGGGAGGAGGTGTTGCGGGAGAGACCGAGGCGGGAAAGCAGGGACAACAGCAGGAGGAGGGGAAGGAAGGCGGGATGGAGGGCGCTTCGGGGCAGCAACAGCAGGAGCAACAGCTGCAGCAGGAGGGGAAGGAGGACAGGGCGCGTTCCAAGTCGGCGGAAGGGAAGCAGCAGCAGGAACAACAGCAGGAATCAGGCCAGAGCCGGAGGCTGCTGGTGCTGCAGGATAAAGGCGGTGGACAGGCCGCCGAGGGTCAGGACACCAGGAGCAGTAGTCGCAGCAGCAGTGGCGGCCAAGACGCCAGCGGCGGCGGCAGCGGCAGCGGCGGCGGCAGCGGCTCAGACTCCGTCAATAAAGATAGTGATCGCGATGACAATGATCGTGGCAGTAGCAGTAGCGATGGGACTCCGCTGCTGCTGCTGGAGCTCAAGGACTCCGCATTAAGGCCCGATTTTGCGGAGCTGCTGCACAACCTCACCCGCGCACTTGGTATTCAGGGACATGTGGGTCTGTGGCTTCCGAGGCTGGAGCCCTTATCGCTGTCCTCTTCCTCTTCAGTGGGACGGCAGGAGGGATCAACAGCAGCAGCAGGAGGAGCAGCAACAGCAGCTGGCGATCAAAGCTATGTTGAGGTGGAGGCCGTGGGGAAGCACCTACAGCTGCTGGGCTCGGGGCTGCTGCGAGTACTGGGTCTTCCAGATACCCGGTGGGACAGCTGCAGATGGGGTCAGGGCTGGGCGTGTGCTTGGGACTCAGGGGGTTGTGTGTACCCATGTGTGTACCTCTGCATCTGTCTGTGTGTTTAATTATCTCCGGAGCCGCCGCGAGGGCAATGCCGATGTCACGGTGGTACACGACTAACTTTACCTCAGCGAGCTATGTCCGCATGTGTATCTATGTGGGTCGGCAAAGCACTAGTTGGCAAGCCGGGTAGGTGAGACTGTGTGTCCGAGCAGTAACTTCCCTGCCTTATCTTCTGCATCGGTATTTGGGCGCATTTATCTCCGACCGTCTACCCTTGAACCCCCCCTGCCTGCCCTCATTTGTCACTCAACACGTCCTGCCGCGCACCTGCACCCGCCGCGCGTGTGGATCGACGATGCAAATCCAACCACGTCCAATTTCATACATCCCCCCGCATTCAACCATCCCTATCTGTGTCGTTTTCCACCTGACTGCTAGGCGCCTAGCCAACGGCACCCGGGTGGCAGTACAGCTGGAGCTGCAGGATAACGATGCCGATGCGTACGACATCTTTGGGCCGAGCATCAAGCACCCGGATGCCGCGCTGGCGGAGGTGGCGGCGGCAGCGACGAAGGCGACGGCTAGACGGCCCGTGGTGACGTGGGTGGTGGACTCGAAGGAGGACGCGACGCGGGCTGCGCACGCGGGTGTGGGCCGTATCGTGTCAAACGACCCGCGGGTCATGCAGAGCTGGCTGCGGTCCACATCCCATGCCTGTAGCGAAGGAGCGGGGATTGTGGCCCTCCAATCCAACCCTCCAACCAACTGGGTTGGTGCTACCGCGGCAAGCGGCGGCGGTAACAGCAACTAGTGTATGAGGGTGAGGAGGGGTTGCGGCTACCGGGGTAGACTGAGGGGGGCTTGCAGAGAGCGTATGAAAAGCATGGTAGAGCGAATTTAGATAGAGCGTGCGTGAGGGAGGAAAGAGGGGTGGGCATCCTTGTGCTTGGGGGCGAAATCCATTCGTGGCCGTTCCGATGGGATGGGGGAAATTGCGGCGGTTTCCACGTAATTCAAAGCACGGTACTGTAACTCTGAGCCGCTGCTGCCTCCGGTGGCGACTAACAGCTTCTTTTACTCTGCGTTGGTGTGTTGAGAACCACAACCTGGAACCTCGAAGCTTGGAGCCTTCGAGGCAGCGAAGGTGGTTGACTGCTTCCTCCTCCGTAGAGGTAGCAGAAAGGGAAGAGTGAAAAGCTGCCTCGTTCGTTAGACAGTGGGCGCCACGTCTCACCGTGCACTTCACCCACTCCGGCACCTGGAGTGCGCACAGGGTGCCCATGGGTGCCGATCCCACGGAGGCACAGCGCATCGCCAGCCCTGACGTGGGCCCGTGTACGGGCCACATCCAAGGGCAGCGAGCCGCCAATCCCAACGTTGGACATCGCATCGGTGGCGCTGGCATCACAGGCCTGCCGCCACGGGGACCCTCCTCTCTCGTGCACTGCCGACCCAGCTGCAGCAGCGGCAGGATGATGCCGCCCGGGGACGCATGCCATCAGGTGGTGTGTGGGACTTGGGCGAGATTGACACCACGGGTGGCCAGGGGCCCGTGGTGTCGTGGAAGTGCAGGCGATGTCAGAGCAGACATAGCATCGTTAGGTGCTGTGCGTGTGGGTCCTTTGCGAGGCCACAGCTGACAGAGGGTGGAGGGAAGTGCTACACGTGCGAGCAATGTGACGACTATGACTTTGGATTCCAGTGAGTTGCGTGACAAGCTGAGCTTCACTCGTGTGACATATGGTTTGTGCTGACCCAATTGGTGTGTACCTATGTACAGGTCAGCAGAGATGGCACGTCTCTTAAGGGCAGAGCAGCTTGTCCAGGGTTGTGGTTCACAGTTTCGACAGATGGCCAACTCGTTGCTGGATATTCAAGAGAGGCGCCTGTATAGTTGCCTGGGATTCGGGTCGTTCGTGCAGTATGTGTCTGAATCGGGTAGAATTGATATTGCACCGAGATATGCACAGGCTTTGGTAGCGGCTGCTCGTTTTTTGCGGTTGCTTTCTGCCACAGACGTTGTGCCTAACAGTGGGCGCCAGGTCCGTCCACTTACAGCTCTGCCACCTTGCGATGCGCTAGGGGCATGGCGCCTTGCTGTGGCACGCTCTGTAGCCGAGTCACGACTCCTGGGTGGGCGGCTCGTTGAGCAATGTGCATTGGAGGTCACAGGCAGGAGCCGTTTGCTGCGGGGTACTGGCAGCGACAACAGCAGCGGCGACATGGATGTCAGCGATAGCGAGTCTGGTGAGGGAGTCCATATGGTTCGAAGTGGAGGGGGTGGGAATGTGCGCCTGTTTCTCTCCAGTGAGAGTCCGGAGTGGTTCACCCCACTGAGTATCATAGAGCTGGTGCACGAGGTGTTCACTCCTGGCGGGATCAACCTGGACTCATGCTCGTCCGCGGCTGCTAACACACGTGTTGGGGCGACAGCGTATTATGATATGGAATCCGATGGTCTGTTGGAGTGCAACGCGTGGATGGGCAATGTGTTTGTCAACCCGCCTTTTGGGGTGCACGGTGGTGCAAGCTATCAGAGCCTGTTTTTCCAGAGATGCGCAACGGAGTACATGGCTGGTCGCATTCACCAAGCAGTACTGCTGCTGAAAGCCGCTGTGGGTTATGCGTGGTTTGATGCCATACTGCAGTGGCCTGTCTGTTTTCTGCGCCAACGTTTGGCGTTTGTGCGTAGGCAATCTGGGAGTCAACAGCAGGAGGGAGGACCCCTGACATGGGGAGTGCGGGTAGCCAATCCACATGGAAGTGTCGTGGTTTACATGGGCCCAGACGTGCAACGTTTTGTGTCAGTGTTTGGTTGCATGGGCGGAATACCCGGGGCGACTTCATGGGCCACGCCCCGCCCAACGGAGAGCTCGATGGATTAAGGCATAGATTGCATATGGCGAACATATTCTTCTTGGCAGACATCTGCATTTTCATTTGTTTTCAATGTAGCTCGTGGTACTGAGTTTAGCGGTGTATCAGAGATTTGTCATTGTTTCCACCCGAACCTATTCATGCATAGGAGTGTTGTGGGATAAACTGGACGAACGGCCGATGAAGTGTGGTGGGAAAACAGTGGGACCTCGGCGGCTGACTTGACTGGGTAATGCAGTCGTGGCCCTGAGTGCTTGCCTCCGGTAGTAGTAGTAGTAGTAGTAGTAGTAGTAGTAGTAGTAGTAGTAGTAGTAGTAGTAGTGCCAGAGTATGGTAACCAGGTGTGCAAGTTTTCCCACTCCATGTCGTAGGATCGAAACTAATACGCACATGAGGCATGTGTGAGGGGTCCCCTTGCAAAGTTTTTCTGTAGATT